TGCCATCACGGACCCTCTCTGATGATCATGAAACTTCGAACCGGAAAGATAATTGGAGGTTATAATCCCATCAGCTTAAAAGAAAGTTCAAAATTACGATTTACAGATTATAAATACGCACCAGAAAGCTTTGTTTTCTCTAGTGAAGATGTGCATGGTGCAAATCATGTGTTAAGCCGCGCTATAAAGCCTCATAAGGCAATTCGTTTAAATAGAATATATTCTCTCAAATCTTGTTTTCACACTATTAGCATGTTGTTAGATTTTGGCAAAACTTTAAAATTTGTATATAATGAAGATCATGTAAAGGATTATATGTCTTGTAGAATTAAGCAAGATGAATTTTATGCGCAACCAGCCATAATGCCTGAAGGAGAATACAAAATTGATGAATGGGAAATTTTCAGAGTCACCGAAAGAGCTGATCCATCTCAAAGAGCTATTCAAAATACATATAGAAATTACAATCGAGCAAAATTTGATCGAGAAATATATAAACGATCGAAATTTGATCGAATTCCACCTCGAATCTATTCACCTGACCTGAACTATTCATAGAATGTATTGAAGAAATTGAATTTTGTACTATTGCTTGCGTCATGGATTGATAGAAAAGAAGTTCAATATACTTATTTGAACATGCCATTCCAATTTAAACATCAGTTTGACGTATTATTTAGTTCAAAAAAATTTATAGAAGACATCTTCCTTTATAAATTAAAGAAATATCCACTCAAATGAAAGTATGAAAAAAGTTAAATTTGTCAATGAAGTCATTATTTCGGCTACGTGTTGTGGAGTAATGGAATAGTTTAAGAACGAGATTATTCTTAAAAGTTAGTAGTAAACATGTATAGCTCAGCGTAAGCAGGCAGGACAAAGCTTTTCCAGCGTTTATAACATGACTTTCTATTGCATAATATTTGAATTAATAAAATAGTAACAAGTAATCTTTTACAGCTCAAATTTTTGACATGAACAGCATTATAAAACTTGGATTCTATTTTAAACAAAAATTTTATTTTAAATTTTCAGTTAGTTTGCAATGGCATAAATATATTCTTTTGCCTTCATTTCTGAAACTTTTCGAGTAAATAATCTATTTTTTTCTTTTACATAAGATATCGGATTTTACGTTATTTCCTTATCTTAAATGAAAACCATATGATCATTAAGAGAAAGATTGAAGAGATTTATCTGCGAGAAGCTTCAGAAAAAATGTATGGTTTTTCATATAAATTTATTTAAATACACTACAATAAACGTTAATTTTTTTTTTTTAACCAAGGTTTGGAGGCGATTTTAATATTAAATACGAATGTATTGGATTTCATTACACTAAGAATTTAGAATTACAGAAATTTATATTGTGTTTATCCGATGAAAAAATTGTAACGTAAACAAAACATTCATGTGAAAGAAAAATCAATTGAAAAAAAAAATGCAAATTCTAGTATAATCACGTGACCAGCTTTTTTATGTAACTTAGATAAAAATAAAAGAATAATAATAAAAAAATTTTAATCCCAAAAAAAAAAAATTGATGAAATCAATCATCGAATGATGAAGAATTCTTTCTATTCGAAATTCTCGCTTTGGCGATAGTATGTCGTACCACGCTACATGGGATTATTATACAGTAATTGACTTAAAAAGGAATTTTGTATATAAATGTCGTGGGAATTAATATGTATAAAAAATTTTTTTCAAAGTTAATTTAACTAATTTAAAATTATTAAAATTTTTTTTTTTTGACGGATCCAACCCTTCGAGAGTACCACTATTATAAACTATTCTAAATATGTATTTTTTATTACCAGGTATTGATTTGCCAATTATGGACTGATAAT